CGAAACGTTTCATTAGAGAAGAACCCGTCCAGAAGACCTATACAATTTTTTTTTCTTTTTGATTTTTTACCTGGATTACTGAAATGCATCAGGACATATACTAAAGTATGGTTTTTTTTTTCGACATATGTCATGCAATATAATTTTATTTTATTGGGGTATTATTATTTAGCAATGACTTTGGTTAAGACTCATTTGGTAAATTACACATTTTACTCCAACAAATGACACATAGAACTGTAGCAAGTTTTTAATATACTTTTATATAAATACATACATTTTACTCATTCTTGATTTTGGCTTGAACTATGTGATTCAGCACAAACAAGCAAGTAGGTAGAGGCACAGTAAGGATGCAAGTACACGTAGCAACCCAGGAGAGTGATATCAAGTAAAAATGTCATCCAAATCAACAAAAACTAAACCTTATTTTAATAAGTACAGTTTAAAAAAATCATAAACTCAACACTAGTCCCAGTGGTGGCCACAGCTTAGCCATAAAACTGCAAACAGCCTCGATATAGATTTTAATGTGTACCATTCCTGTCATTAGGAAGAACGTTAAATAGTAAATGTTGGAAAATGTTTCACGTCTTCCAAATAAAAACATTCAAATTAGGCAAAACATCACATTTTGACAGAGGCCGACTTTGTTCAACAGTACAGATGATAAAAAGAGATTACATAAAACCAAACTTAATACTAGAATAAACATTTGAACAATAAAATAGGTAACAATACAATTATAAAAACAAACTTGCACTGAGTTTTGAAATCATTATTCTCAAATGTTAAATAAAATGGCATTCATCAGCTTGTTTTAATACAGACATTGACATGCTAGCTCGTTGCATGCCGTTTTTTGCCAATAAAACAAAAGTTAACGCTTTCACACACAAATGTTTTGGGTTATTTTGTTGTTGTTTTTTTTACTTATAAGTCACCATTTTAAAATGGGCCAGTTACCTAAAAAGGGAACCATTTTATAATTGGCTTAATTAAAGCCTTATAGCCACTGGTCAGATACAGCAGAACATCATGCCAATTTCCACAGGTCATTATCAATTCAGAAAGATTGTACTCATCCCACATGATTATGATTTTAAAAATGAACAGTCAATGCTAAGTTCCTGCAAAGACAATATCAAAAGAGGACTGTAATAAAAACTATATCATGCTTAAAATAAAAAATATATATAAATGGAACAAATGCAGTTGAACTCATCTCAGGAGCAGAAGTTGCAGTGTCCGTGAATGAAGCAATAGAAGAGTTTAAGGCAATACTGGTAAGCACCACACCATCAAATCAAGTTGCTTCTGGGGAGGGTAAAATATCCGTGTTTTTATCAGTTCAGTGAAAGAGAGCAGTGTGGGTTTTTTTTTTTTCATTTGTCCTGCATCTTTTCTAAAATTGGTACAATCATGTCAAACTTTGGCCTCTTAGCTGGGTCTTCATTCATGCATATTTTCATAAGCTTGCAAATGTGTGGTGAGATACCAGGAGGAATAGTGGGCCTCAAACCTTCCAAGGAAACCTAAAAAAAAAAAAAACAAGAACAAAAAACAATAAATAAGTTCAACTAACAGGTTCAGGAGCTATGCCTGAAAGTTTAGGTAAAGTCATGAACATTCATGTTTGCCCAACCTTCATGCCAATTTCCATGTTGGACAGATCAGCAAACGGGACTTCTCTGGTCACCAGCTCCCACAACAAGATGGCAAAGCTCCACATGTCGGCTGACCTGCGATTGATCTCTTCTGGCTTCTTCTGCAGTGCTGAGAACCACAAAGAACACCAAGCAAAGGTTAGACAACATGCACTCTGATGGCCTATTTCCTGCTTAAAGCCTAGACTGCACCAGTAACAAATATCTTCTATTAAAAAAATAAATATAAACCCAATGCACTCCATGTCATGGTTCTCTACTAACCTAACATATACTATATGGGTGTTCTTTCCATTGTAACTGGAAGAGACATATCTACAGTGTACTGTAAATGCAAGACCTTGGCCCCCACTAAGTTTATGTTGTAGTTTACATGCCTGCTGCAAACATTCCCTGGTTATTGTCATGTCCTGTAATCAGTTTATTTTTTTAACCTACTTGGATTTCTTCGTATCTCTTGGAGAAATCAGCTCCAAATTACATTTAGCTCTGAGACAGTGTAAAGCTCCCTGCATCCATCATCCTTTATTGGTCTTCTGTGGCTTCAGCTGTCGCTTCAGATCTGTGCTGTATGAGCGATGCCTACCCTCAGGGGCCACCCATGCAGGTGAGTACATCCTGCCAGGACACTGGAAGGAGAACTTGACATCCGCCATGCTGATCCTCGCTGTCATATCTTCATCTATCTGTGCAAAGACAAGAGATGTTACTTTACATGATTTTAGAGCAATATGTCTCCAGAAAAAAAACTGACAGTTTTATGATTGTAAAATTATTTAATGAAGCCACAGACTTTTCTTACCATGATACTTTTACTGTTGAGATAATGGCGAGCGATCATGGGTTCAAGCGTGTGTAAGAAAGCCATCCCAGAGGCAATGTTTAAGGCAAACTTGACCGCTTGAGTCTGGTCCACCACAAAGGCTGACAGCGGGAGAAACGAAAAATAAAAAGTTGAGGTCGATCTGTCTTTTATCACATAACAGGTCGACGGTGGAAATGATGGGGTAAGAAAAAAAAAGTGATGGCAACATAATGACAAACATTTAAGTGCAACAACTCACAAATTCCTGCAAATCACCCAAGCTGCTGACAGGTGTGGAATTTGTGACTGTAATGGAAATACTCACTAGTGCCTTCATGCAGCACATTGTAGAGGGAGCCATAAGGCATCCAGTGTGTGATGATGATGGGGTGAGGGGCAGGAGGAGACTGACATGCTCCCAACATAGGTAGAACATTTGGGTGGGAAAATATCCTGGGGGTGAAGCCAAAAAGGGAAGGGAAGGGCAGGGGGGGGGGAGACAGACAGACAGACAGAAGAGGCAAATGCACAGACAATTTGACAAACAAATCTTGTGTATGTGAATCACTCTCTAAATAAACAAATAGTTTGGTTCAAATGCAAACAGACACATGAGTGAACACAAGAGTAAAATGAAAGATTAAGGTTGAATTTCATATTCACCTGAGTTTTGGATACTCCTCATTAAAATCTCTGCTCTTCCGCGTTGTCCAGTCTCGAATTTTTAGGACTTTAACAACGATTTCATTCCCCTGCCAACGCCCTTGCCAAAGCTACACACAGGGGACACAAATACAAAGAAACAGAGATGAATAAAATATACCTTTAATTCATTGGCAGTAAAGACGCATAAAACATAATAAATTACTCATGGAAAGTACCTCTCCAGACTGGTTCTCATTTATCTTTGCAAGCAAAGAAAGCTGTTTGTAGTCGATGCCTGCATGTTTGTTCAAAGTGCCATTGCCTGAAAACAAAACAAGAACAAAATCCGACAAAACCATCATTATCCATCTGATAATTGCACCATTACTAATGAGAGAAAAATAAAGCCACAGTGAGATTAATGAAGAGACCAATGCAGATGTTATTTTCCCTCTTCATGCAGCACTTTGACGAAAACAAAGAATGGAAACTGGTCTACTAATAAACTGGTTTATGTGTTCCTGGAACTTACGTGGCCGAGTTCGAGTGGTGCCTTTCCAGAATGTGTCCTTGAAGGGAATTTTACTTAAGTTCTGTCCCATTTTCTCAGCATTTTCTGGGTGTCACAAAAGTGGGGAAATCAAATCAGAACAACAAACCTGAAAACTTTATCCTGATTCTGACGTTGATTTAAAAAAGTGGGTAAATAATCAGGAGATTGGGATACCTCTGAGGAGGTCACGCAGATGAGGTTTGGCTTTATCCAAGGGAGTTTCGCCAAATTTGTTACAGATGCTCACCTGAGCCCCACTACTCACGAGGTCCTGTGCAAAAAATAAATAAATAAACTAGATTCTTTAAAGGTTTTTTTTAAATACATAGCAATTTTCCCTTATGACCACCAGGGAGTGCACCAACCTCAGCGACTTGGTCATGGCCCCAGAAGCAGGCATAATGCAGTGGTGTGTTTCCATGTTCGTTGGCTGCATTGGTGTCTGCTTTGCACTGGATCATCTAAAAAGAAAGAACAAACCATTATATGCAAAAAAAAATGGACTGCTTAGATCTTGTTTGGGAGTTAGACTTGAATGTTGCTATGAAAAAACAAACAAGTATAGAAGGTTTTCTTGCCCGGGACACATCCCAGAGGTATTGAAACATGACTAATATTAAAAACAAGAGCTGCTTTTCAAAAATCAAGACTCCCTAAATACATCTTTTCTGACAAACTAACAGAAACATTTCCTAAACAAGTCACTTGGTGTTTCACTTTGAAAAAAAAAATCAAGCACAGTTCACAGAATATTTACAAAATGAAGTAATGTGCTACGTTAAATCAAAGATGCATGAATTTCTGAATGTTTCATCTCTGAAATTAAGCAACCAGGCTAGTCTCTACCAAACAAAATTTAATTTAATTTGCACCAATGCTTGTGATAAAAAACAGCTACAGACTGTATGGCTGCTTTTAAAAAGAGAAATATTTACAGAATAGTTGCGCTTTTAAGTTCTGTTTGTGGTGTGTGTTGAAGGTAATCTTGCATATTGTTTGTGTGATAATTATACTTCACAAAAACAAAAGGAGGTTTGTAATCTTTAGTGGGGGGTCCCTTTGTCTTTATTCTCAGTAAACTCCTAAAGCTGTTTTGGTGGAAGAGTGCCTCTTCCCCAACAAGCTCGATCTAGCCAAACCAAGAGCTGGCATTTCTATTAGGCAAGTTTTGGAGTCATATTTCTGCTGCTTCAGCTGTGCGCCACAAGAGCAAACAACGCCTTTTTTAATTCAAAGTTGCAGTTGAGATGACATCATTTAAGATTTCACAACAGCCTGAGTTTAAGACACAAACTTGCTGAGACACTGCTGTGTTTAAAAGCCAGTTGTTAGTCACCATTTTGATTTTATAATCAGCATGGGGAAGAACATACACGGCAGTTCTGAAAACTTGGTGGACAGTACAGAAACTATTTCCAGAGTCTGTGTTCGTTGTGTTTATTTTACCTTCCCCACAATATCCCGATGTCCATGGCTCGCAGCCAGGTGCAGAGGAGTGTCATCTCCCCGGTTCATGACGTTGATGCGTGCTCCTCTCATGATGAGCATGTCCACCACATTGGACCGCCCCTCCCGACACGCCCAGTGGAGCGGGCTGAAGCCATGGTCATCTCTGCAATGACGGAAGAGCGCAAAGAAAACGTTTTTTACACAGCAAAGCTAAGCTGTGCAAACTATTTAAATAATGCTTTGTGATTAAACAACCATACCAAAATAGTTTCTCTAAAGAAAAGAAAAAAAATGTTTGTTAGTTTCATCATAATTTTCCTTTGAAAAAAAAAAAAAACAGAAGTTTGATGAGTCACAGCCCAGTGAAGCAAAAACCTGTTGACACATCTCCAGCTGTCTGGTTTAAATTGGTCATGCTTTACTCTCAGATCTTGTCACATCCTTATTTTCAGGAGAACATTTCTCCCACAGCAGTCACTCTCCTCATCCTCTCCCTTCCAATAGAAACACTGTACTGAACTGATTATATATTCCACTCTTCAGGAGTGTTTCCACTGCATGTGAGCCTCCGTGTTAGCACCACAACACAACACAATGCTCTGATTGATGGATTTATGCACATGCCCTGACGTTTTGAGTAGGCAGAAAGAAGTGGAGAACTGAGGGTGTATTATGAATCTATTTGGACTCTGTCTCTCATGCCCCAAACATCAGGTCGCTAAATTGAATTCACGCTTCCTGCAGAGCTCAGTTCAAAAACAGCATCAAGAGCCCCTCAGAGACCCTCATTCCCACAACAGACATACATCTGTGTGACCTGCTGCAATCAAACCAGATCTACTCAGATGCTATTTCCTCTCAGACCAAAAGGCCAAATCCAAATGACCAATTAGTCTTTGCCAAAGAGAAACACACTCTGCTGACTGACTTCTATAATTTTATTAGCTTTCAGACCTCTACACCACACTGTTTGGGGCACTTTTGCAGAGGGGGTTGCTTAAAAAGGAAAAAAAAGCAAATGTGAAACCGCTATAAAAACATTATTTTATGGTTTGTCTATCTCATCTCTCTAGTTTATGTATTTATATTTCAAAGCTCTTTATATGGGATAGACTTACCCTCGAAGATGACTTCATCTGAGGCATCTGAATGCCAGGGTGTTTTTTTTTTTTTTTTGCTCACCTCCTCTACGCAGACTGCAGTAATTTATTTCAGGCACTTCCACCTGCTAGCACAGCTCAGCATGGCAGACTAAAGAGCCAGAGGACGAGACCCTGTCTGCACCCTGTTTTTCTTTCTGCACCAACATCCCTGCCAAGTCATATGAAAGGCCCCACCTAGTAAAAAAATAATACTTTTCTAACATTTAACAAAGGCGCACGTTTCGATTATGGGTGTCATAGAAAATGTAACATCTAAAAAAGGTAAAATAAGAAAATTTAAGTTTGAAAAAATAAATATATATGTAGGCAAGAGTCTACAGTTTGCATTTGTTGGACAGCTGGAAGATAAATCTGACTAAAAAAACAGTTTGTTTCCAAGCTAAAGTATGAGAAGCTGTAGGTTTCTGACTATTAATAGTTGCTCATATTTGCAGAAGTAAGTCTGTCAAAAAGTCACTTTTTTCACAAGTTTTTTTTCTTTTTTGCTCTTCTTGCAGGTTGTAATTTTTGCATTTAGACCAAAAAGACAACTAGGATACACAATAATGTGTCTGAAATATTTCATTTACACCCTCTAAAATGTTGAGGAAGCATTTACAGGAGAGGGCTGGATCTAGTTCAGACCTCTGGGGGGCAAACACCGGAAACATATTAGAGGAGAGGAAAGCGATGTGCTATGGCCAAACTATGCATTCCTCTTTTGAAAAGTCCATTTTCCTTCTCTCTCTCTCTCTCTCTCTCTCTCACACACACAGACTTGGTTTCCGCCCAGCCCACTACAATAACCCACCCACTCCCCTCAGTTTTGGTAGGTGGTACATCACTCCCTCGAGGACCTTGTTTTACTCCTTGTAAGGAGATTCAACATTCCACAAGTACTGTTTGTCTGAGTTACATCAGAGTAAACACACTGTCACTGAACAGCACATGACACATTTCACTGAAGATTAGCTGGGCCAGAGTTTAGTGTGTTCACTCAAACATGGATGGGAAAAGACTGAAAGCTTCTGCAGAGAATTAAGAACACAAAGCTAACCGTGCTCTGCAGAAAAGAGAACTTGACATGTAATCAGCTAATGGACAGGCAGGCATGTCCACACTGGCCTGATTTAATCACAGTCTTAGGGAAGGAGTTTAAATGTAACAAGAAGTATGAGAAATAAATCTAAACTCCTGCAAACATTTTTTTACTGTTAGGCAAAACTAACAGGAGTGAACTTAAATTTTTTTTAGATTAATTATTTTAGCGTCTAAAAACACAAGTTTAGTTTACTAAATGGGCAAAAAAAAAACAGAATTTTCATCACTAAAAAAGTGTTCATTTTGATTTTTTTTTAAAGCATGGTTTCTTAGCTGTGTAGCCTTTACGCAGTCTTAATATAAGTACAGCAGACTTGCTCAACAGTACCATCACTGCATGCTTCCTGTCCAAAATTGAGCTTCTGAAATTTTCCACTACTTTTTGGGCCAGTGCCCACAGGAAAATGGGTTCAGTTTCAGGTCACAATCTCTCTGGGGACTGAAGAGGTGGGCACTGAGCCACCAATAGGGACAGAATTTAAGAATGAAAGACACTGCATGCTTCTTCGAGATTATGATCTAAATTTTCTGGCATCATAAGATGTGACAAGTCTTACCGTTTCACAAAAAACAATGATATGGAGAAACATAAACAATAAACACACTTAACTGTAGTCTATTCTAAATAGGAATTATATATTTATATATCATGAATTAAAACAAGATTTCTATCTGAATGCCCAGAAACAGATGTCGTTTCACATTCTGGATACTATCAGCAGCTTTTTGCCTGTAAATTAAGCTGCAACTCACCCCTGATTCAGGTCATTCTCTGTATTGTCCAGCCACAAGCGAACAGCCACGGCGTTGCCTTCCCGGCACTGTGTGAAGATATCATCCATCTCGACTGATGTATTCTTCTTTTCTCAAAGGGGCACCAGTGAGAACAGATGCAGAACTAAACCAGGACCAAGTTTAGGCAAGTTCTGACCAGCATCAGTCCCTCATCTGGGACACAACCAGAGACGCTCTAAGGCACTAGTAACAGTGGGTGGGGAAAAAAGAACTATGATCAGTTTTACCACAATTTATTTATTTATTTATTTATTTATTTATTTATTGATCTACTATGACACAAGGCGTGCAAAGTGATCATGAGCAGTTTTACAGAATGGGTACACAATTTATAGAATTGGTTCGTAAACCTTTCAACATCCAGCCTAAAGTGGCAGAGACTTGGAATCTGACTTAAGTATGAAAAACGCTGCCAATTATCACAAAAAATATGCATCAAGCAATGATTTTTAAGTTTAATTTGTAGAATACAGATCATCTTATGACCTCCTGTAACGTGTTTCACAAACCACATTGATGTTTTCTGAGTTGTAAACAAACCAGGGAACTAATAGTTTAGGCACGGTAATATACAAACTTATGTGACAATTATAATGCTCATAAGGAAGTAAGCAGGGGTTATATTCCTCATACATCTGAACTGATCCAATACAATCATTTGCTTCATAGGGTAAATTAGATATTCTGTAAACCAGCAAATTAACATAAAAATAAGCATAGCTGGCTGTAAGAAAAAAACTTTAATGCAAGGTTTTCAGCATACAAACTGCTCTGGAGCTGAAATACTTTATTATACACATAAACTGTGTGATCTTTGGTATTTATATATTTAATTAAACAGATGGGAGCAGTGTTTCTTTTGGACAGGGTGCTGCTATAACAAAGTACTAAAATATCACACATAAGACTTATTATTTGCCAGATGTGTGTTGACAACACATTGAGTTTGACTTAAAGTTTATATTAATTTGAAACAGGTCAAATATTTGACTGGAAATCAACTACAGTAGAACCTTTCAACATCTTTAGAAAGCCTGAAAATATTTCTCAAATGCACTTTTAAACTTTACATGAAAATTTGGGTCATATTTTAAAAAAAAATGAGGAATGATTCAAAGGTTTGGCACAATTTACTATGTAATGTTTAAGTCACGCTCATTACTACTGTAAGGTTGTACAATAGAGACAGTACAAATAAGACTTTACTGTGAGGATTTATGTGGTTTAGTGTGTTTTACAGTAAATAACATTAACACAGTCAGAGATAAAATGTCACAGTTGAGATGCTAGCTACTCTCTTATCCAGCTAACACAGCAGGAGGAAAGATAAAGCTTAGCTATTAGTTCCAAGTTAATACAAGGACAACAACCGAGTACGTTCATTACGTCAAATTATTAAACAGAAAACCCTCTTAGTTCCTTATTTGTACCCAGCAAGATACAGTAAATACATGAGGCGTTAGCATGTTTCAGCTAACAAGCTAACTATCTGATTGACGCCGAGGGCTGCTTGTCTGCGCTTCTCTAAAGACGCTCTCTGATGACTAATATCCAAATATTTTAAAGTTTAAGTAGTTATAACTAACAGTGTTTGTTCCTGTGGGATTAAACCTACCTGGTATGTCCGCGGTTTTTACTGTAGTACAGCCAAAGGAGAAGGTATTTGTCAAACAGTCCGTGGTTGTCTCCAGCAGCAGACTGTTGTAGATCCACACCCTCGGTGCCCCCGGGACGTGCAGACTTTTACAGGACCGAGGGGCAGAGCGCGCCCCCTACAGGCGACAGGAATAGTTGCAACTAGTTCAAAATCCAATGCCTCAGGCAGTGTTTTTTTTTTTAATTTTCCATTTTTCCGGTGTGTTTATGCAAAACACAACAAATAACAGGCAAATAAAATAGATAGCTTTTTTATATGCTCATAAGCCTTTCCGATGGTAATGTCTTGTAGCTTAGAATTCTACAATTCACAGCTACTCTGGTGCAAGGGCGTAACTTTAGGGTGATGCTCTAAAACCCTGCAAATCAATTATGCTCAAACATATATGACATTGTAAATGTCTAAATCATGTCAAAGTTACCTAAAGACAACAAGAGAGTTGCATCTGTCTATTTAACCAGTTTGTTTCTATTGTGTTTGAGCAAATTATGCCATTTTATTGGGGGGTTAATTGATTGGATCACATGGGGTCACATGCCCCCCCCCCCCCAAACCAATATATACA